CATGCTGTATGATAATTACTACTGCAATCGTACCTAAGTAGTCCCTTCGAATCAAAAATACATTTCAAGATTTCGATCGACATTTCACTAGACAGCACATCTACCGTAGATGATGGTCCGTGGTTGAGCCGATAGCGGTCTGACCCATCACTAGCAGGGACGGCAGCCTAACTGCCCTTTGTTCCCGCCCCAACATCGCCGTCCCCCTTCCCTTTCCACCCGCATGGGGCGGGGGGCTGATGACGTGACCGAAACGGCCCATGCCTCGCGGCGAGACCTAGAAAAGCGGGCTGGCAGAAATCCGACAAGGAGACTCTCCACCATGGCCAACGTGAGCTTCGAATGTTCTGTGGCGGGACGTCATTGCTGTCTCCGATGGCTTGTGCCTGACTGTGCTCGAAACAGTTAGCGGGGCCAACTCGACTCGTTCCTCCGAATTACAGTCGTGTGCTATCAAGCAAAGCGATATGGTTAAAGACTCAGAGCAGTCCGCTGTGGTTTGCGCTGTGATCTAAAGCAAGGGAGGTACAAGGGGTTTGGTAGCTTGAGTTACTACATACTCTTACGAGGACAACTTAGGTTTCCTTATTGGAAAACTCTGGGACAAACTGTACGCTTCTCGATCCTAAAGGTCCCTGCAGTGTATACGTTCATCCTGCAACCCTGTTCGAAGACCCACCTCAAGTTACACGAGCGTAACCTTATGCACTGGCTTTGAGCCCGCAGGCCACAGAAGCCTGAACTTTTAAGAAAATCTTCCTAACTGATGTTCTGGTCCAGGTCCCAACTCGAAAGACCGTCCCTAAGTGGACACATTTTGGCACCCGAACCAAATGTCGCTGTGCTCTGCTCCTTTAAGGGACTGCAGAGCTCGTGGGCTGCGCTACTGCAAGGGGTACGACACTTCCAGGGCAAGACTCTGCCACCTAAAGAAAACCCTCACAGGGTTCAGTTCAGTTCAGTTTATTTGAGGGTGTTAAACCTTTGAACTCCCTATTTGTTACAAGGAGGCGAACAATAAAAAAAATTTGAAAATGGAAACATCAAACGGCTACAGAGTTTCTTCAGATTGGCAACGTTTTGTAAGCCAGACAGATAAACGAATTGTTCCAAGAGTTAAAAACATTAACGTTACTAAATGTGCTGTACAGTAGTCTGTCTAGGGATAGTTGGTGCTATCTCAGTTTCGGAGGGAGACGAATTGAATGCCAACACACATTCAACAGACATGGGACAATATTAAAAAAAGCAAACGTTACTGAAATACAGAAAGTAATATAAAAACATCAATAAACTGTTCGAACGAAATGCTAGACAATCTGTCAGGTGGCATTATGACGATTGGTGGCAATCTGGTCCAAGTTGCGCTTAAAAGCCTCGACGGAGGTGGACATGACGACACCTGCAGGCAGAGCATTCCAGGCTTCGATCACTCTGTTTGAAAAGAAGAACTTCCGAGTGTCCAGCTTGGCGCCAGTTACGCGTAGTTTAAGTGGACGACCTCGGAGGTTCGTTGTGGTCGTTAACTCAAAGAAATCAGTAGGTACGAGACAGCAGTCCTGGCCGCGCAGTATACGGAATGTTTGTATAAGGTCGCCTCTTAGCTGTCTGTAACTCAGTGGAAAGAGGCCGAGATTGGACAATCGGGTTTCATAGGGTAGTGAACCCTGTCCACTTACGAGTTTGGTTGCCCGCCTCTGAACTTTCTCAAGGATGCTGAGATCGTTAGAGGCCCACGGTTTCCACGCCTGAATAGCGAACTCTAGCTGTGGCCGTACGAAAGTCCGAAAGACTTTAACGAAGCAGTCCTCATCGAAGGTAGAGAAAGCTCTCTTAACAAAATAAAGGACTGACATCGCAGACTTGGCTACCTTGGAGCAGTGAAGCGACGGTTTTAGAGAAGCCGTTACCCACACCCCCAAGTCTTTCTGGGCGTCTACCTCCTGCAATGGTACGCCGTTTAGGTGGTAAACCCTCCGGTTCAGAGATCGGGTCCTGCCGACTCGCAGGACATTATACTTAGTCACATTAAACGGCAACAGCCAGTCCTGTGACCATTTCTCGAGTCGGGTCAGGTTTGCCTGCAAGCGCTCTTCGTCAAATTCAGTTCGGATGACGCTCCAAAGTTTAACATCATCAGCGAACATGGCGACATCACAATTCAGTTCACTGACGCAGTCGTTGACGTATATAATGAATAGGGTAGGGCCAAGAACGGAGCCTTGTGGAACACAGCTTTCAACCGCTACCTCCGCCGACTGCCTGTCACCGACGTGGACGATTTGAGAGCGACCGATCAAGAAACTTTGTATCCACCTCAGGAGATTACCCCTCAGGCCTGTTCGGTTTAATTTGTACAGGAGACGCTGATGGGGTACACTGTCGAATGCTTTCTTAAAGTCGACGTAGACTGCGTGCACTGCATTGCTGCCATCGACTGCCCGGGTCCAGCGATCTAAACAATATAGTAGATTCGTCACGCATGATCTGCCTCTACGAAATCCGTGCTGGGCATCGCATAGCAGATTATGCTCTTCTAGGAAGTGCATTATTTCTCGCTTTATTATTTTCTCCATAATTTTGCAGCAAATTGAAGTAAGGCTGATTGGTCTGTAGTTGCTTGCTAAGACCTTGCTGCTGCCTTTATAAATTGGCATGATCCGCGCTGATTTCCAATCGGAGGGCAAATAGCCTGCTTCGAACGAAGCTTGGAAGAGCATGGACAGCGGTTTGGATAGTTCTTTAGCAAGTTCCTTCAACAATTTGGGCGGTATGTCATCCGGCCCAGGTGATTTAGACTCATTCAACTTCAACAGTTCTTTGCGAACAATAGCTTCGGTGAAAGAGACGTGCTCAATCGTTGGCCCGTCCACTATGTCGCAGTCGGGAGGGAGAAATGCGCTTTCCTTCGTAAAGATGGACTTAAAGAACTGTGAAAGGTGCTCTGCCTTTTCTCCGTCCTCACTGAGTTCTAGGTCGCCACTAGTTTTCAATAACGTGATTGGGTCTCTGTTTCGTGTGCTTCTTCTTATGTAACCATAGAACAACTTCGGATTTTCTGCGGCTCGATTTAGTAGGTCTTTCTCAAAAGTACGCCGCGTCCCGAGGATTAACCTCCTAACTAGGTTCCTCTGTGCTTTATATGCATTGAACGACACATAGCTCCTATCCGAGAGGAATTTCCTCCATAACCTCCGCTTTTTATTCACTTCTTTTTTAAAGCTTGTGTTAGCCACGGGGGTCTGCAGTTTAGTTTCTTCCGTGAAATAGGACAGTGGTCTCCGAGAAGAACGTGCAGTAACTCACTAAACCAGTCCCAATCCTTGATTATGTCACCGGAAAAAGCTGATTCCCAGTTTATGGTGTTTAGTTCAGCTTTCATTTGGGCAAAGTCACCGCGCCAAATGTTCCTTCTAACCCTGGTGGCCTGTTCGGGCAGAGAAAAAATGGAGTACTCCCACAACAGTACGACGTGATCGCTTCGACCTAGGGGGGGTAGACATTGCACCTCATCAACGCTGTCCAGTGACTTCGTAAGGAGCAGATCCAGACACTTTGACTGTTGCCCTTCGCGCACCCTCGTCGGAAAAGAGACGTGCTGAGTGAGAAATAACTTGAAGGTCATGTCCAGCAAACGTCGGTCGAAAGCATGGTCTGGACCAGATGCATAAGCTGAATTCCAGTCGATAAGAGGTGCGTTGAAGTCCCCCATGATTAAGACTTCGGACCGGATAGAGAATCTCTCCAGGTCCTCAATCAGACGGGCGTCCGCCGTGGGATCATTTCTCGGCGGTCGGTAGACCGTCAGGATGTCAAGGCTCGGTGAACCCGGTGCTTTTATAGTTAGCCAAATAGCCTCAGAAGTACACGAAAGTTTATCTGTTTTGTCTGAGACCATAAGCCCGTGTTTTACATACGTGAGTACGCCTCCGCCCTGACGTCCTGACCTGTCTCTTCTAAACAGCTGGTATCCTGGTATAGTTAACTCACGGTTGTCTACCTGCTGGTTCAGCCAAGTTTCTGTAAGTGAGATTATATCCGGGGATAGATGAGATAGATAGATCTTGAGCTCGTCAACTTTCGAGAACATGCTCTGCACATTTGTATATAGAAATTTCAGTTTGCGATTTGCGGCTGGCAGAGAAGTAAGTTCGATGCGTCTAGGACTTTCGCCCACTATTCCAGTTGCCCGGTGATCCGGATCGGGCCCGTCCAAAGAAAAGATGATGGGCGCTGTCTGATTTGGTTGTTGTAGATAACAAAATTCCGTTCTCCTTCGTTGAGTCTCTTCCTCAGCTCCAGAACTAGAAGACGACGTTTCAGCCTCTCTGCTGGCGAGTAATCCGGTTGAAAAAAAACGCCGGGGTTTGTGCCTTTTATTCTAAAGCGCCGAGATAGAATCAACCCAGCTTGCTCCTTACAAGCCAGCACAACTTTGAGTGGTCGGGGGCGTGTTGGTGTAGGCAGATTGTTTGTCCGCTTTCCGATACGGAAGGCTTTGAGTACTTCAATTGCCTCAGTGGTTTCCAGGATATTGTTAAGCAAGCCTTGGAAAAGCCTTAGATCTTCCGAAACCCGGTCTTTAGGAGTGTTGTCAGTAGATTCAGGGAGCCCCTGAATAACGAGACATTGGTCTCGTGCGATATCGTTCGTATATTTTGTTGTTGTATTTCTCTCTGGTGGATGTGGTACTTTAGGGGTATTAGATGGCGGTGGTGGAACACATGCTATATCGCGGTT